TTTGATTGGTCTTACTTGAATCTTTTATGCAGTCTTCCCATCTCTTTTTCCACCTTCTCCCCAAACCCCAATTCTTTACTGGATTGCAAATAAAAATAAAGGAAACCCCTGTTTAGCATTTGTGTGGGGAAATTATTATTGCTGGCTGCATCAGAGAAATGTTATGTCAGATAAAACTGTTAAAGTGTGTCTAAGCAACATTAAGAGTGGCAGGCCCGCCAGTGACTGACTGGGTGAGTGAACACATTACCCAGACAGCATTGTAGGAATTAATTTTCTTCAATAAAGTGATTTTTAAGGCTCATATATTTCACAATCTAAACATATGTCAGTGTTTCATAAACAAAATAAATGGATTAAAATAAAACATTACCAATATGCTGACACATGGAGATACTTTAATTAGGAATACTTAAGCTGTGTGATATCTAACTGCTGTATTTGCTGTAGCGGAGTGTGTCCCATTTCACAAAGCCACAAACAGGTATAACCCATTTACACAATGAAGGACTGAGGCCAAACCAAATTGCATTTTCTCTAGGATAGCCTATTGCATAGCATTAACCCCAATAAAAACAGCTTTAAGCTTGCAGCAATATACAGGAAATGCCTAAAGAGACACGGCTCATATACCAACTTTTTCACGGGGGGGGGGCGGTGGGAGGAGGAACAAATAAGTCACTGAGATGCTGGTTCTTGAGAATAATATTTCTTCATAAAAGGCTACATTTAATGCCTTAGCTATTTAAAGGCCATATTTACATGACTGTCACATTACAGCGGCCCTCTCTCCTGCACATTCTTCTCTACTTACTTTAAGGGCCTGCACGAAAATAGCTGAGGAAAGCAAATGTCAACCCTGTCCTGAAATTTATATGTGTGAGAGAATTAGAATAAGTAGAAATGTAATATATTGTTTACTGTACCGAGTGCCCTCTGTTCTCTAAAGGTCAAAAGCATTGCAACCTTAGAGTTACAGTTTCTGATTGTTCCCAGGGTTAAATACATTATCAAAATTAATGGTTCAAACCCTCAACCTTCAGATATATGAGTATTCTTGCCTCCATCTGCCAAACTGTTCAACTAAAAATAGCATTCTTTGGCCTTCATACCGCTAATATTGTACCCCTGAGGCAGGCACTGCAATGCTTCAGCAATACTTTGGATCTGCACCCTGCGGTATAACAAAAGGTCGTTACTCTGTGCACAGCGAAGAGCAGAGAAGAGCAAGACAATAAAGGAGCAGGCTGCACAGGGTTTTGTGGCGGTTGTTGTTTAATTTCATTGATGATAAAAACTTTCAGCGTACAGCTGCAACCACAGCTAAGAGTTGCCAAGGCTCATTAATGTTATACGTGATAAACTTTGAAGGACAAATTACTCAGGAAGCATAAGGGAAAAAGGAGAAGCCATAGGTTGGCTTGCTCTTTCACCCTCCCCTCTAAAGAGCATTTTGTTTAGGACAAATCCCGTTAACATAATTGCATCTTTTCTTTTCCTTCTCTCCCCCCAACCCCCGCCTTATATAAATGTATACACATCCACATCATTGCTTCCTTTTTGTTTTGCTTTGAGGGATAGAAGAAGAAATGACACAAAGCTCTCAAAAAAGATACAATGCAGCTCAGCCTTTCTAAGCCAAGCGGCATACATTGATGATTTTTCTAATACCGTTCTTTAAAATCCTCTTTAAAAGTTGGGTAACTTTTATCTAACTTGCACATGAACTTTATCAAACTAAGGATTTCAAGTGAGGATGTTTTACTAGAAAGGGGTGGGATATTGTATTATTGCACTGGGTATATAACTGATCCTTTTCACCATATACTAGTATGCATTAATTAGTTAATTCAAACACTGATGGGAGGAAGAGACAGTGTGTCAGAATGAGCCCCATCTGGTTACTCAACACTGAAAGTAGTCACAGGATTGTTAGAGTTTTATCCCTTTATTACTAATTCAAGTTTAATATTTATTCTTTTTCCAAATCCCTTTCCTTTTAAGGATTGAATGTCTGCACTTTTGGAAGTCCTGGTCTTGTGAGAGTAGTAAAATAATCAAAAGGATCACTATGAGAAAGACAGGTACATTGGACTCATATAATTTTCTGTTCTGTCTTTAATCCCATATATTTAAAATGGATAATCACAAACTAATTTTCTCCACAGCTGTTGGTTCTGAGAAGCAAAATGGACGAAAGCCTTTAAAAGAGTCACTCTTCTGCTGTCTTGAATGGCTCGCAGATTAGACAATAGCTCTCTTTGTGACTATTTTAATTAGGAATTGTACTTAATAGAATTCAGTATACTGCCATCCAGAACATGATCTAGATCATACAATATTCTGGACAACTCAGTTAATGAAATTGATGAATTACAACTCCCAGGATAGCTCACCATGGCCATGCTTCCTAGAGCACCTGCTTGCAGATAATAGTTTTCTAATTACTTAGTGGACCACACATTTCTCTTCTTTAGGATATATGGCAAAAGATTGCTTAACTTTAGACTCTGAAAAAGCTTAGGCTTTCCAGATACTTTGGATTACAGTTCACCACCCCTTGCCATTGGATATAATGAAACTTCTCGGAGCTGTAAACCACAATATCTGGAAAGCACCAAGTTGTCTACCATGCTCAAGGACATCGTTATGTGTGCTAGAGGATGCTCTGTGTTAGTAATGCCTTTTGGCTCACTGTAACTCATATAGTTTTGAAAGACCTGTAGCTGTTAGGAAGAGTTCCATAAGCAATCTTAGCAATTTCTTCATAAAGAATAACCGTGATTGGGCCTGTGTGTTGCTTCAATTCTTCTTAGACATAGCCTCACGATATGTGCTATGCAATCCCTATTGGGGAAGTAGAGTCTTTCAAATGAAGAAAATAAGATATGATCAGCAGTTCCAGTTTAGCAAGTCTTTGACAGTGTATCTCACAGAAATAGCTCTGGATTAAGAATCATTTTAGGAACAGGTTCAGCTAAGAGTTAGGTTTTGATGCCTAAGAATTGTTCTTACAACTCAAGAGCAAGGATTCTCTAATCAAACTGAGACATCCAGGTAGCCATTATAGATACTGTATATAAGCAAAAGTTGCCAGACTGAAATTAGGCTTTTCTTAGACAAAGTTTAAATCTTACACAAGTCCTAGGCTCTGAAAAGGAACAAGGTAATGTATAATTCATAATCTATATTATTAGTAGCAAAATATGGTTTTGTTCATCTTTTAAGAGCCCTCACAATCACAAAAGAGTGATATCCCAGTAGAAAACAGCAGCCCTCCCTTTGTAGAGGGAATTCCAGGAAAATGTATCATGATCTCTTGCCCTTAGCTGCTATAAAATCTCAGCCTCCTCAGAAAGAAAAGGAAGAAAGATGCAAACAACTTTGGAAGGTGGGGGGAGAACTGAACAAGGAAATACCCTTTTTATATAGACCTAAAACATACAACAGGATACCCATTTCATTATTTGTTGCTATCCTCAAAAATTTCCAATTGAAAGTGGTAGATCAAGCATCCAAATGTAGCTAGGGAACCGTTGTGCAAAAAACAGGTGGAACCTTCAGTCATTCTCTCCTAGTCCCAAAATGTTCAACAACCACCATACATGATCCCATCAGAAACAGAACTGACTTATAATAGGAAGCCTGTAAACTGTTTTTTTCTCAGTTTCTCTTATCTCTAGTCTTAAATTCAAATGCCCCTTTTCTCTGGCAGGTTTGGATGTTTACATGAAAATGTTTAAACTTAACTGCATCCATTTTTCCTTGACATTCTTGTAATTATTTTCTGATATTTGTATTCTTGATTATATTTTTCCTTACTATATGGATTTTGGAATCATTTCTAAAAGTGGAAAACTATACATTACAAATGCTGCTTCTCTTTTATTTCCTAGATTCCATCCGAAGTACAATATTAGGTAATTCTGCACTAAAAATGGTAGCTGAGCCCATTTCTCCTTATCACTAATCAGGATCTTAAAAAAAATTCTGAAACCACTAAGACTGCCCTTTTTATTGTGATATAAAGTATTCTGTAACCCAACAAAAGCTGACAATTAAGTAAATCTATTTGCTGTACTGCAGCAATTTTGCCACTACCAAACTACTACTACTATAATTTTGGTTGATAACAGTTACAAGAGGCATTAGCTACATCATTTAAATAACCAAGAGGTAAACCTCTAATGTGATTGCTAAACACACCCACTTTATAAGCTTTTGACTGCTACTTCATTATTTGACACTATTGTGCCTTTTCTTGGGGAATATTAAAAGGCTATATAATAAATTGGAATATAAATCATTTTCACACAACATTTAGTTCCCCCTATGACAAAAATAAATAAATGACCTAGCAAGGGACCAAACTCAGACTCCTGATGGCTGCTGGCATCCAACCAACTTAACGCATGGAAAGACTGAGATTCCATAAATACAGAAGCTGCAAGTGTGCAGTTTAGGAAACAGTCATCACAAAGCCCCAAAGAAGGAGAAATAGACATTTTTCAGAACCCACTATGAGGAGCAAAAGCTAAACAGGCTACATCTGGAAAAAGCTTAAGAGAAATAAAATGTTCTGAACCTAGCTTCCAATAAGAGCTACTTGCTTCTCCCATCCTCTCTCTACACACACACAAAACACAATCCAGCACAACTTAAGTACCTCTGAAACACCTTTCAGTAAAAGAAAAGAGTTAAATGACTGCTTAATTCTCCCACCGAATCAATGGGCTTAAAAGTGCTTAAACCATAGACTGGCTTGTGCTGGAAATTATTAAGGTAATTGATAAAAATACAAAGTTGGCTGCATTTCCCAGCATCAACCTTGACACATGCTGATCTGTTTGCAGCATATTTAGTACATAAGGTGTTAATCCTTCTGGGGCCGTGCTTAAAAAATTACTTAACATTCAAGCCATTACTTAGCATACAGCTGGTTAGCAGTTTTCCACTAAAGTACTGGCTTTGAGCCCACATATTTTAATTCTGGCACATACCTGGAGCTGTAAAGGGCTGAGTCCAGAAGCAGCAGCAGCTGCCATTGTTGATGGAATGAACTGCACAGGATAGTTATCACCTGTCAAGGAGAACAATGCACACAGGTTCAGACAATGAGCAGAGAATAGCAGTGTGCAAGTACCAACAGAGCCTGAGCTCCAGAACACCGCTTTAAGCCTAAACATCTGCAAAAACAAAAGGGGATTGCTGGGCACAGACTTGCACCTCTACCTTGGAAGTTCTGCTCAGCAGATTGCTAGTAGGCAAACTGGCAAAACATAAAATGCAGTGCTGAGACCCAAGCATGCTCACACTTATTAAAGATCACATAGCAGCATTGAAAAATAATTGCGTGTTCAGAAATTTTTCAAACGATCCGTGACACAAAGAAATGCACAAAGGCCCAGTCTTGCAGATTATGAGCATCACTCCATTTGAAACTTCTTTGGCTGCACTTATTTGGACTAACAGATCAGTAAGAGGACGTTGCTTGATTTCAATAAATTATTATGCTCAGCAGTATATTCTTCTAAGGAATATTACTTAGATCTTTTCAGCGTAGTTCTCCCATTTTCCTGGTATGCATGAGGCAATGTAGCACAGATTGGCAATTTTTTCAGGCGCTGGGCATTATGGCATAATTTTGTGTGATGGTGCCAGGGTTCTTCCCACCAAATATATATATATATATATATAATAATTTTAAAAAGTATCTATAGATCCCATGTGCTGTTAACAGAGGATAATGCTTCATGGCTGACCACTACTTTAAGTATACCTCTGTGATCAAGCTTGACATATTATTAATCCATTTTGTGATGTTTATGTTTAAAGGCAAAATATGTTCATGCTTAAAAGCAGAATATCTAAAATTTAAGTGATACTTGGAAATGATGCATTCAAGAATATAGTGAATCCTGGATTGTAAATAGGATAAAGATCTCATTTTCTCCATATTCAACTTGGAGTCATCACACAGAAAATCAAGTAACAAGGAACACATTTCATATTATGGGATCATCACTATTATGGATTTGAGTAAAATTTCAGAACTCACATGACTGTGAGCAAAGTTTCCCTCAAACAGATCTCCACCTTGATTTTCTTCACTTCCTACCTCTGACTTCTGACCAGTCACTCTTCTTCCACAAGCCAAACCCTCTTATCTTGGAAACCAGAAGAAGCAGGTCACCTCTCAATACACCAAACATCGTTTTTCAGCTGACCAAATTGCTGCCTCTGCCTCTCCTCTCGGAAAAAGGGCACTGTTCTGGGTTTTGCCTTGGGGCAAGCCAAGAGAGGATTACCTATCGTGGTCCCTCATATCGATTAAAGATATCGCTGCAAGCCAGGGAAACTCTTAACTCTGTTAATATAGGCATTCTAACTGGACTGTCAGATTTGCTCACATTGCTATCCTCTGCTCCACACTTCCCAAACTTTCCTCTGTTGTCAACTGCAATGCTGATTGTCCCATTCTCACTTTTTTTTTTAGACTTTTTTTAACCAGCCTTTATTATTTTCATAACTAACTCAAGGTAGCAAACATACCTAATACTCTTTACTCCTCCTATTTTCCCCACAACAACAACCCTGTGAGGTGAGTTGGGCTGAGAGAGACATTATTATAGAGTCTCACATTATTAGAAAGCTGGTTGTATGTTAAATATAGGGATCATTATTTATCCCCCATTATTTTAGTTTTTGGTAGTGCTGTAATTTCATATTATTATTATACAGTTGCTCCTAAAATAAGAAATGTCTAATATAGGAGGTTTCGGCCTGTGTGAATGGGATTACGTAATGTATGTTCACATTATAACTACATTCTGCAGCACTTCAGCATCCTAGTTTGAAGCTGAAAGTAGAAATCAGGGTGGGGAGTAAGCAGAAGTGGAACCTGAAATATACATTTTTAAAGTGATTGATACATTGCACAATAATCATGCTTTAACGATGCTTTCTTATTTAAAGCCAGTGTTACAAACTATCTCCAGGCTATATTTTAATAAGCTATTCCTCTACCATTTTTTTAAAGTTTTATAATAATGTACTTGTTTTGCATACACTTTTCCACATTACACACAGAATTAATCACATAGGTGTGGTGTAGAAGATTTAAGATAATGCAATCTGGGAATGGTGAGTTCCCCTGTGCACATATACATTTAGTTCTCCACCCCAGCTCAATTCTCAAGTATACAATCAATTCCCAAAAGCAATAAAGCAGTAAAGAAAAAACTTTCTCTTCAGCTTACCATCCAAAGAGCAGCCACTCTTCAGACAAGCTCAGTGTAAATGTTAAGTTGCTTTCACTTTTCAAACAAATGGTGAGGTTCTAATCCACAAGGTCTCTCTGCATCATATCCATAATACCTCATCAGATCATTGAGCACAGTATGGGCTTGTACACAGTCCACTAACAATTGGCTTCTGATTGCCTATGGAGCACTGCTACAATGCTTTCCTAACCTACATTGTGCTGGTGTCCTATGGAGTTTATAACATTCATAAAATCTAATCTTATTCCTCCTTTTCTATAAGGTTGATTTTTGTCTGCAGTAGGTTTAAAACAAACAGAAACCCCCCCACTAAACTAAATTGTTTCTTCATGGTATAAAACTCTTGTCTTTTTATGGTTAGATAATTTGGCTTATCTTCTTTGAAAACTAAATATTTTTTGAATATAAAGCATACTCATCAAAAGTTAAATAATGTTTCTCTGGCAATAAGCATTTAGAAAAAGAAACTGTCGTGAAAATATTGATTTAATGTTGCTTTAAACGGAAAAACAATAAGCATTTAAATATACGCAGGGAGTGCATTACCAAACATTTCCAAGGCAATCTTTCTTTAAATATAATGAATAATTCATTTGCATTCCATGCCATAACCCCCTCCACTGTTTCCCTTTTTTTTTTTTTTTTTTGGTAAATTCAATATTAGTTGCTTTATTTGTATTAATATGTACTAAAGCATTTCCTATCTTGCATGTGTGTGTGTGTATATATATAACTTCTCCCTCTTGGCACTCCTTTTTCACAGCTGTCATGCTTCCAGGTTTGAAGTAGCTTGAGATATGGGTGTGTGAGAGTGTATGTTATTAGGGTCTCTGCCACCGCTGACAGTGTTCTTTGGGTCACCTGCTATAGCTTTCCTTATGCTGATGGAAACTTAATTTCATTACTCCGTGTGTCTTCCACTCCTCCCCAACCTTTTAATCAGAAAGTTATCCTTTCTAGGATTAAATCTGAGTATTCTAAAATGAGCAGTATATGGTTAATATAATCCTACTGCATTGTATAATAGCATTATCCGGAGAACAAAGCAGGACACTTCATACCAATGGAATGTTTTGCTGACAATAGTAAAACTGGAGCAAGCACATGTTCTTGGAGGAAGGTGAGGAAGGGGCTAACAACAAGGAAGGGGGAGAAAGTTAAAAAACAGAAGTTGCATATTTTCCATTATAATTTTCTGAGCAAAAAAAATGGATCCAGGAGTTTCTTAGTAGCTATCTTAGCAATCTATCACTCAACATGTTGTAGCAATTTTTTTTTCAAATTTGTTTTTGGATTTGGAATGCTTGCGTGAGGATCTTATTCTTCTTTAATTTTATAAAGGCAGACAAAACAAGTCAGAACAAGTTGATTGTAGGTATCGGTGTATGCTAGCTTGATTAGTGGGAGAATGGTTCAAGGAAGACAAAAAACCCCCCCACCCTTCATTCTTTGTTTTGCAAACTAGCCTTCTAAGCTTATCTGTTGATTATATTGGTTCTTTTATTGTTTTTATAGTCATTGGTAACTCTAAGATACAAAATGATGTATCAACTTCTGTTTTACTTGTCAATATGCACGATACTTATTAAAAAGGTGTAGGCAGCCAATGCTTTCAATACTTCGATCTGAATTCCAAATAAAGCAAGGTTTCCTTGTTTTGAACATTAAAGTTGTTCTGTACATTATGAATCTTCCACAGTCTGAAATAGTAGAAAATCCATATGCAGTTCATAACTTTCAAGTACAGGCTTCAGAAGGTACATACTTCCATAGTTTACCCACACTATCATCTACAGACTATCTCTTAAAAATCTCAACTGAATTGTGTTGTTAGGGTACAATCCTAATATTTTCTAAGCCATTTCAAGGCAGATGAAGATACATTACTGCAAAGACAGTCCTAGGCTAATCAAGCCTGTCTGTGTGTTTCATAGGTAGTTTGCATAAAATTCAGTTTGCTCAAATTAAGTCCTGTAGAAAGCAACAGAAGTTTGCACATTTGACCCAGACTGTCATTTTAGACTACAAAGAACTCTTAACTCCTTTAACAGCTCCTTTTGTTAATAGGATATAACAAAAACTTCTAGCTAAAAAGAAAGGCTAATTGGGCATTGCTATCAGAAACGGTAGCATGAAGTAATTTGCCTACAGCCCATTCAATATAATTTAGTAAGGTTACAATTTATGTATGTAATTTTAGTGGAGTGGAGCCTTATCTATGGATTCTCATCATGATCAATTTTTGATGGGTTACTGAAAGAGATTTAAAAGGAATCCTGTGCCATGAATATTCATTGGGTTCAAATCCCAAATCATCCTCCTAGAGTTTTTGAGACTTTCAAAGATGCTTAAAATTTAGAGATGGGGTCATATTGGAATGAAGTCTTGATTTTTTTAAAAAATAGATCTTACAACTGTGTAAGCTAAATCCATAACACTCTCTCCATATTGCAGATGGGGAAAACTGATAGACAAATTTAGTTGGTCTCTAAAGTAAACTTTATATGACTATTCTAGGTGGGAATTGCAGCAAAAAAGGTTCTGTCTTTTAGGATCAACCATCAATAGTAAAAGAACAAACAGTCAATACACCAAAGATTAGCACTTGGTAAAGTAGTGATGAAGACCTTGGAAAAATTGCTCAGATACCATGATGGGCCTATACCTACAAAGATCAGAATAGTGCAGGCAATAGACATTTTATGGAAATGAAAGTTGGGCTTTGAATAAGCTGGATAGGAAGAGTATTTTGAAATTTGGTGTTGGAGAAAACTCCTCAGAATACCATGAACAGCCAAGGAAACAAACAAATGAATCATCAAACAAATCAACCCAGAATTCTCACTCAAGACACAAATTATCACTCTCAAATTATTGTGCTTCGGGCATATTATGTGAACACCTAGCCATCTTTTTCTGATGCTAGGAAAGATGGAAGGATAGAGAAGAGGAGGAAGACCAGCAGCAAGGTGCATAGACTCAGTTATAGTGGTCATGGATGCACTGTTGGAAGAACTGAAGGACCAGGTTAGGGACCGAATATCATGAAGAAAATCTAAGTGGTTGCTAAGAGTCAATATCAATTCTATATTTTAAAATGTTACATTTTATTTTATTCAATCAATGTATGTATAAATAAATAATGCAATCTGACCATAGGTTATTATCTTGCTGTGAGGTATTTACTATATATATTATATCACACATTATTATCACATCATAGCACAATAGGGCTAGGTTGGTAGGAAAACCACCTAGATCATATAGCTTCTGTCTTCCTTTTTAAGACCATTTAGGATTACTGTGCTGACTGATATTTGAATCAGGGATTTTCTAGCATACCAGTCACTTACAATTAGATCAGCTCTCATATTTTATACACATAACATGATGCCTACACTTCACTAAATTAACAGTAAACTGTCATGGATTAGCATTGACCAAAGAGGTCATACCATTCACTTTACAGCTTTTACTATGCTATAAAAGAGTCACATTATCCAATAAGCAATAGCTTGATTTGCTCAGATAAATGTTGGCTTTGTAGCAGCTGTACTATATGTATCTCATTTAAATAAGACCTCTCTATCAGCAAGTCCTTGGAAAACTGTCAAATGCACATGGATCAAAAGATACAACAGTAATTTAAGTTACACAATAACTTAACATTTTAATTAATACAATATATGCTGTAAATACACAAATTGATTTATGAGGCCCAGATTTTTCAATTAGCAATTGCTATGTTGAAAACTATATTATATCATACTGGGATAACTTTCAAAATCTGTTCTCACTTACATGATTGATATTTATTATCTTGGGATTCCAAAATATATTTTATCTGTCTCATATAAGGGGACGGGATGGACACATTTGATCCCAAATATCTCTGAATTTAAATAAAGGATTGTATAGCAGTTTTTGAGACATGGAACACTATTAACTAACAAAACCACCACGTTTTTCAACTTTTAACTTTACAACTCCGAAAAATCCAACCTTCAAGGAAACACTAGGAGTTGTATCCTTTACATATGTGGAGATTTGATTTGATTTGTGATTGGAGCATTTAGTTTGTAAGCAAAGTATTGGGATTAATTACTTGACTCATGCAGATAAGTAATATAACATCAAATGCTATGTTGGTATTTACAGATAAAACTGAGTTATCCAAACCATTACAATTATTTGACTTTATTAATTAATTAATATGGAACCCTTTCTAGATATACTATCAATTGGTATAAATTTAAATCAAGGCTTTGTGAACTATTACATTGTCAAAACAAAACTTCTCTGGATAGTTTCAATAATGCTTGATGGCAATAATCTGTCCTGGACTCTGAATGCTTAGTGATGCATCTCAGATGATGAAACTGAACTGAAATATGTTGCTATTTGAAATAACAACAAATTTGAATATATGGCCTCATTAAGTATCTGGCATAAAATTAATACTATAAACTCAGTGTTTGCCATTGGAAAATTTTGACATCCATTATTTACATATTTCTAAAATACATTTTCAGAATATCAGTGTGCTGTTTTAGAGGTGTATTCAGAGAAATCTTCTCCATTAGTTTTCATTTATGAAGCTTCAATTATCAGACAAGAAGGTTTTAGCTTTGCAGATTTAAATGTGTTTTATAAACTGCATCTTGTTTCTCAGATTAATGAATGGTCAATTTTGCCTACTGGAAACTTGTTTTCATAGGCCATCTTAGAACTGGCATAGTATTTTCCAGTTCTATATTAGGGTTCTCTCCTAATATATTCCCCTTCCTATTCCTAAATATATTCTGTAGATGCTCATCTTCTTTGAATTATATACCAACAGTTTAGAAAATAATAGGAAGAGAGTAGAAGTAGATATTTCCCACTTTTATTATCACAAAAATATGTATCCTATAAAGCTGGAAGGATAGCCAATTCCCCTCAACTATACAAGGGGCAGCTCACCTTTTTTATATTTAAATAAGCATTTATTTTAAATAAGCAGGAATACTTTTTAGAGAAATATTTAGAAACCTGAACTTCATATTCATTTTAAAAACTACCAAGTCTACTGGTTTAAATATTAATTATTTAATTGTACAATATGCCATGAACATGTAAATATAATTTTGCTTACTACAAAAAGGACATGTTTTTACGGCTTTTTTCTCTTTCTTTCTTTCTTTCTTTCTTTCTTTCTTTCTTTCTTTCTTTCTTTCTTTCTTTCTTTCTTTTTTCAGAAAAATACATTTAAAACAACAACTGAATAAGTCTTTACAGAAGAATACTGGAGTATTGTTTGTCTGTTGGAAAGCTTTGTATGTTTCCTTTAAATCAAGTTTGCAAGATAGCTTACAATTAAATAGTAGACAATACTAGGCATATACAAAAAGAATATAAAGCAACTTGTGATACTTCCTATCAGAGTTTGAAACTCAAATGCTGGACAAAAGGAAGGGCTAGATGAGAATCTCTTTCTCAATTTTCCTTAATATTCATGCATTGCTAAATATGTGCTAAATGCGGGAAAGAGAAATAGAGTTTTATTGAGATCTGTAAGTATTTGTCATCATGAAAGCATTATGTTATACATGAAACTTGGAAGAATTATTTCCATAGGGTTAAACAAATTATTATTAAGAATATATTTTGAAATGGTACATCTGTGCTGTTCATGTGCAATAGACTGGACATATCCTTGCATTGTATTTTTCCTTCTTTCTCTTTGTTACCTGATGTACTCTTTAAATAAGTATATGTATATTATGTTCAGTATTAAACAATATGAAGATCTGTCATTTGAAGAAAAGGAATATTAAATTATCTTCAGATTCAACCAAAGAATTAGAGAAGGTATAATAGATGTCCCATGATACCCAATAGGACTTATGCCTTGATACATATGTAAAGGATCAGTTGTGTTAATCATAAAGGACTTTATATGACAGTTAAATAAGATGCTATGTATTGTAATATGAAGCTTATTTGAAAGCACAGATACAATGATAAGCAAAGTAAACAATGCATTATCAATATATCAATATAAATATATCAGTATCAACAAGTAGTTGATCATCAGACGTAAAAATATACTTTCTTTTTAAAGAAAGCAATGCAAGTAGCTGTGGTCTACAAACGAAAAAAAATGAAAATGCTAAGAATTGAAAATGCTTCATATGGTAACAGGAGGAATCCTTTAAGGGGGAATCCTTAAAGGTTTTTGATGAGAGCCTAAACTTGGATTAAGCGTGAGCAACCTTTTGGCGCCCAAGGACAGCACTGATCTCTTTGGAAGAGAGGGGCTGCGCTGGCAAGAACAATGAAGCAAAGAAGGTGGGGGGCTACAAAATTTGCAGTGGGGTTTTTTATTTTTGTGGGATATGCAGGATTTAGCAGTGTCATTCCTTGCTTTAGAATTGAATTGTGTTAAATCTATGCAGTTTTCAGTTTTATTATGAGTGTATCTGCTCCAAACAATGGGAAATCATAAGTCATTTTTTCGGCATTCACATCACCAGTATAAGACTGCAGTCAGAGCATGCTGAAAGGGCCATAGAAAAAGGGTCAGGATTTGCATTTGGTCCACATACAGCTAACAGAGGCAGCACATTAAACCTGAGAGCAGAGAATGCTTCCATTTTTTTAATCAATACTTGCTATTGACAACACTAACTCTGTTTGCAATGTTTTAGTACATAAAAGAACAACCTTTCCCATTCCACGAGAAAGCTCTCATGTCACAGATCTGCTGGAGAAGATTAAAGTAAATCCCAAAATCCAAAGTGGACAATGGAATCTAGTCTTCCAGCTAAATGGAAGACTAGATCCCAACCATTCTTCCAAATATGTCACTTAGTATTTCTCAAACCTAAGAATCCATTTTATGTTAGTGTATTTTTATAAAATCAACAAGGCAGAGCAGAATGGAACAAACAGAAATAATTTAATATCCAAAGGAAATGCTGTAACTGTTTCTCCTTTAATCTTCAATTGAGAGGGGACAGATTAATGAAGAAAATAAAGATGCTATTTCTGGGCTGAGATCTGCATTAACAAGGAATATACACATGAAAAAAAGGTTGACTTTTATTTACTTAAATGTCTTCTAACTCTGAATTTCTCCAGTAACATGATTTTAAACATTTAAAGCCTGTTTACAGGGAGACTCTGAAAGTAGCTTCAAACCATTATATCCCTAATTGAATTCCCCAGGAGCCTAGTAAACTCAAAGGAATAAAGAAAGAAATCATACCATTTGCTAAATCATCTCCAAGCATTTCTCACTGTGAAGTTGCATGACCTGTTACAAGCTTGAATTGATGATTGCAACTGAACTGCTGAACCTCTGTTATTTAGATGAAAATTGTATAAAATGCTGCCCATTTGAAATAAACAAATTAAATCATACCTGCCTTCACTTTTTATCTCTAATTATAAAGAAGGCTTGCACAAAAGACTAGGATGTGTACATGCTGATGAGAAAAAGCTAAAAAAAAGGACAGATATATGTAATTTTCCTATAAGAAGCGGGTTACTCTAACGTGCAAATTGGCATGGAAATGGGTCAATAAATTCAAAAGAAATTAGATTGTGGTATACAGAAATAAAAGAAATATGGTTGTGCATAGGCAATTCTCTCATGTCTTTAGTTAAAAGAAATCTAGACTTGCAAAATCATTCTGCAAAACCTGCATATTCCCCACCTCCATGTTACCCTTTTGTGTGTATCAACAGATCACAAGAGAAGTCATTGTTTTTATGGTAACTTGTTAAATAGCTCCATATTCTCAGAAACTTACCGGGCTTATAAGTTATTCCTGGGGGGAAAAGGAAGCCTTGCTGGGCTGCTGCAGCTGCTGCCAATGTCCGCTGGTCGTGTGGAAAAATTGGGATCATGAGAGGAGGCATGTGACCCTGAACCTGCTAAACAGAAGAGAGCATCTGATCAGAAATTGCACCGATTTGTCTTAACAAATATCTCTCTGCCAGCAATAGTTCACAGAGTCCCACTAAACCTTTCCCTTATCATAATCTTTGCCAATTTCACAAGATTGAACCATTAGAACCCACGGTGTCCAAGGTGCCATAGTCTCATTCACCATCCTTTCTCTTCCTTGCTTTGGAAATACCCGTGAAAGGTCATCTTCTGAAATATACTCTTCCTTATTTTAACTTTATCTCCATTTAGACTGTATCTCCACACCCATGTACAAGTTGTACTATATTTGAGCCTCTCCAAATGCAAGTCTACAAAACGCTAACCCTTCTTTATAAGTATTTCCTTAAATGAAACTGCAGTTCTTAGGATTTAAAATTAAAACAACTTGCCTTTCAATTAAACTGATATTATTTGCCATATATACCTCACTGTAACATATAAGCCATTTTATGGATGTAAGCACTGCAATAATGCCTGGTATTTTGGAATAAGTTCCACTATTTCAAATTTCATTTGACCTTCATTTGTGATGGAATGGAATTATGAAGGCCAGGCTCAGGGAGAAAAGTGTTTTCTTAGTTCACTGCAAGGGCATGGGAACTGCAAGAGGATGAGGCTGGCACCTCTCTGAGGAATTCACGGTGTTGTGGCTGGCTGGCTTGGGAGCTGGGGTTTCAGTCTGGGAAGATTCTTGCTAGAGGTTGTGGCTAATAAACATAGCGGAACTGATTTTGCACTGTCTCTTGGAGTTCTTTGGGTTAAACCTGACATCATTGACATAATGAAAAGCAACAATTAAACATTCAAGTAAAAAATTGCAAAAATAATTTGTTTTGGTTTGTTGTTTTTATCAGACCAGGCATTTGACAATGAGCTAGAAAAATTGGATGCAAGTATTCCTTTTAGAAATTCAGTTTTAGTTCCTGGAATCCTGAATTCATGGTATCTTTATCACAAGGGAACTGGATGTGTTTCTTTTGTGTGGGGGGGGAGGAATCATATTCAGAAATAATACAATGATTTTATTTAAAATTACCAGTAACATCAACCCAAAATGATCCTTATGGTTCAATCAAAAATTGGTTTATAACCAGAAAGATAATTTCTATACCCTGTCTTGTTCCAAATGAATGGTATCAAACTCCATTAAAAAGTCAAAATGAACTTCGAGCATTTTTTTTAATTCCAAAAAATAAAATAGCCCTGGTAAAAATCCATATGCTGACCTATGACACTGCTTAAATACTGTCAAATTTTCTTGTCATATCCATGTTCCTCTCCCAATCCCTGATGTAGACCAGAAAGGCTACCGTGTGTACACTTCTAAGAGAGTTAATTTACCAACAACTTTTCTCTGGGGAAAAGCCCTAAGATGTAGGTTAATAAAGGTCAAAAAGAATATAAACACTTTACAGTATTTTTCAGAATCCATTTCTCAGGAAAATCAACTTATAATAAAAAGGTCTTTGTGCAATTACTGCCATAGCATTGGGGCGTGAAAGAAAGTAGCTTTGAGCAGCCATTTCTTTTATTTTAGCTGAGGTAAGCCTCCTTCTCCACTTCAGCAGCACTTGTAATATGGTTAAATTGAAGTTGTGCCCAGTACCAACATTTAATAATACTATTAGGTTTTTTGTGCGATGCTCATTCGTCCTGAGTCTCTGAATAACTAAGAATCGAAAACAGTTTCAGTGTCCTATTGTATCAGGAAAAATCTAGCTTCTTGTAAGAATGGAATACAGCATTTTTTATAATCACCCTGAGTACTTTCAGCATGGGTACCGAATCAGTTGGATGGAGGACAACTTTTGTATCCCAAGGTAACCAGATGCACTAACGTAATAAAATAAAATATCCACAGAGTCTCTTGTTGAATAACAGAGGAAAAAAGCAGAAGAACCACAGATTTGAGAAGGATGAAAAAGTAGACACACAAATGCATTGTACATTTCTGAAAGTTACTAAGGCATAAAAGCATGAATCTACTACTCAAATCCACATTCCCAGACAGTGCCTACCTTCTTGAAAATTAAGGTGAGATTATAGGTTGGTGTTTGGCTTTGCAGCACACCAGCTTAACATTAATAAAATCTGAAAAATAAAGCAGGGCAGGAAGCAGAGGTATCCGTGGGCATTACACTACTTACTCCGGCTCTACAATCCAAAACTATGATACTATGATCCTTGGGGCAACAGGGATTAGTTCCCCTCCCTTACCAATGTGATGGATCATCTGGTGGCCAAGTTTACTGGAACACAAAATATACTATATGCTCTCTGAATGCTTCTCCCACATTGTGGAAGAAAGAAGCCCTGAAATGAGAGGGAGGCAAGAAGAAAGAAGCAACAAAAAGCTTAATATGAGACAGCACAAACAGTTTATTTTGCTGAAAAATGTAAACTTTCAAAACAGAAACAGAACAAAAAATCTCAACAAGGAGAGCTTCCATAAAATGATACAGATTTGAATGAAATGAATCAAGGTCAAAACTGTAGTAAATGCCAGAGATAGCTGTGTAGTGGGGACCAAACAGTAGAGATGCCAAGTCAGGAATCAAAGGACCCTCCCTCCCCAACCCCCGCTTTTTTTTTTTTTTTTT